GTTGTAACATATCACCTCACCCAAAATGCGGGTATAAAATGAAAAATGAAAGATGCTTAAATCATAGCATAAGTAAGAACTCTGTTTAGTATTTGCAGGTAATAGTTGTGTGTGTGTAAACTAAAAGTCTTTGAAAATGTAATAAGTTATTACGATACGCGTTCAAGTGTCGCGTCAGACTGGAAATAAAAATGAATTTTGGAGAATTGATTTTTCAGTTACCATCAACAGTGAAAAGAAACATAAGAAAGATCGAGAAAATTCGTGTTAGAATTATTAATCTTACTTTTTCGGTCATATTTAATATATATATATATTATATATATATATATATAATATATATATATATATATATATATATATATATATATATATATATATATATATATATATACTATATATATATATATATATTTATTTTATTTATTTATATTCCTTCTCACTGAGGACCTTAAAAGCATTAGATCGCAGAACATTAGATCGAGGCTCTTGCTAAACTCTAAGTAAGTAATGAAAGTTCAATATGATTTTGGGCCTTCAAATATAAACCTATGAACAATCATGATAATAAAATTATGGAATAGGCAGCTCTGAGTAGACCGGAAACAGGCAGACAAGTAGACAAACCGGAAATTGGCAAACCACGATTATATAAACAACTTGAGAGCCAATCAAAACAAAAGAGCCCTCCAAGACAGTACTACATATCCCTATCACCTTAATTAATTACACAATGAAGCATATATACAACGTAAACAAAGCCAGTTTGCTTAAGTTATATAAGTGATAATATGACAGTTTCTAGAGATGAAACCGCACAACGCACATGCAAAATATATATTCCTTCCCAGATCGTGGATACATGCATGGACGCACGTCCGCAATGTTTGTTCGCGAAGCTGCAGTAATCAAATCTTGCAAGAAGAGCGTCTTGTGACGCCAGTGCCAGACAGTTGCGTCACGCAGTGTTGACACGATGAAATGTTGTTGACATACGCCCCTGAGACCTGTGATGCCAACTAGGAAGGAGAGAGAGAAAAAAAACTTGTCAAGAAAGAAACACGATAAAAATCTGAAAAGGAAGCTACGTAATATAGGAACATGTAAATTTTTAGACTCAGATCTAATTATTGAAATCTAATGTTGAAAATGCTGGTAAAACGTCTGAAGTTAGCTAATATGCAGAATTTATTTTAACGAGGAAGTAATGAAGGTGGAGAGTACGGATGCCCGGTATGTACTCACAAGGGAAACAGATAGATAGATAGATAGATAGATAGATAGATAGATAGATAGATAGATAGATAGATAGATAGATAGATAGATAGATAGACGTAACGACAAACCCACTCTAGTAATATTGCACTAACAATTCCCCTTAAACCCAACCTCACCACCCCGCCCACCCACTCATCCAACAGACCCACCCCCACTCATCCAACAGACCTACCCAGCCACCCACTCACCATTCTTTCATCCACAGACGCCGTAACTCACTCAAGCACACACCCGCCAACACACGCACGCAAAGAGCTTCCATCGAACTCGCCTACACGCCTGACCGAAGTTGCTATTCACGTAAAGACATCGTTTAGTCTTCGATAGAGCTATAAATATGTGATATTTGTGCTAATATTAAGCAATCCGCATAAACGCTGTTATTGTCCCCCTTTCTCTTTCTGTTTTATTATTCAGTATCTCTCTCTCTCTCTCTCTCTCTCTCTCTCTCTCTCTCTCTCTCTCTCTCTCTCTCTCTCTCTCTCTCTCTCTCTCTCTCTCTTTGTATATTTGCATGTATAAATATAGGTTTTCTAAAATATCCAGCACTGTATTAACATACTTGGAGATATGGGTAAAAGAAAGACAAGTAACGAAACACATCTTGGTCTTCCTGACACACCTGTCACGAATTCTACCTTATCCCCTCGGCAAATCTGTTACGAAGTCCAAATTTGTAATATAAACATGCCACAAATCTCATCTTATTCCAGATTGAAAGCCTGACACGAATTTTCTCTTATTCCTCCTAGTAAATATACTTCTCGCGAATTGAACATCACCCTTCAAGCAAATCTCTCACGAATTCAAACTTAATCCTATTAGCAAATATGTCACAAATTCCATTTTTTTTATTCTGGTAGTTCATGAATTCCAAACTACTCCATTCAGGTAAACCGGTAACATTACACCAAGAGAAATGGGGAACATGGCTAGGTATTTGTCGTGCGTTGCTAAACGTGTACAATGAAGAGAAAGGGGCAAACAGAATACATTTGTGGTTCAATAATATGTTCGTGTCGTGATGTCTTCCTAACGAAAACGTTCGTGCATGGCTACAACTCCTGTTACACCACTGTGTGTGTACCTTATTATTTCTCTCCCCATCTGTTACGTCACTATGTGTATTTCTAATTTCGCTTGTTAGGTCACTGTGTTGTTTACATTCTACCCTCCCCCACTCCACTTACTACGTCACTATGTGTTTACATTCTACCCTCCCCCACTCCACTTACTATGTCACAGTGTGTTTACATTCTACCCTCCCCCACTCCACTTACTACTTCACTGTGTGTTTACATACTACCCTCCCCCACTCCACTTACTTGTCACAGTGTGTTTACATTCTACCCTCCCCCACTCCACTTACTGTGTCACTATGTGTTTACATTCTACCCTCCCCCACTCCACTTACAACTACGTCACTGTGTGTTTACAAGCCGCCAACCACTTGCTGACTTTCAGGGAGTTTCCTGCAGCTGTTGTGATCAGCTGCCAAAAGGTTGCTAGGTAATGTGTAGTGATGGGAAGATCGGAGACATGGAGAGCAACTCTCCGAGAGCTGGACAGATGTGTTAAATTGGGGGAATGAAGGACAGCGTGATGAATGGAGGGTGGAGAACGAGAGAAAGTTAGTACAAATGAAAGAAATGTAGAAAATTATACAGCCTAAGATACTGTGGATAGAAAAAGACACGTCCTCACAAACATTAATAGATGAGTAGAATCATATAAAAAGATAATAAAGATACTAAAGCACGATCTAAATAAGCGTTATGAGGCAAGACATAAAGAAAAGTCTCACGAGTAAATTGAGACTCACACACAAGTATTTCGAAGTGGATGAAAATGCACCTGTCGATTTATGCTTGGGAGGCGGGAACCAGGAGGCCAGTCCCAACCCGCGACGAGCACCAAAAGGGTGAGTACTCATCTGACACGACGGAATACATAATATCACGACTCTTTATTAATGATCAAAACAAAGTCGAATTGTCTGCCTGTTAATGTCGAATCGTCTGTATTAGCCGCTGCCTCTTGTCATTAATTATGACGACAAAGCTTATTAGTTTGTGCCCATCCTTTGAGGCAGAGCTTGACTAGAACACGTAAACACACACACACACACACACACACACACACACACACACACACACACAACACACACACACACACAAAACACACCATTGCACACATGTTACGGTGTGTGTCCTGTGTGTGTGTGTGTGTTGTGTGTGTGTGTGTGGTGTGTGTGTGTGTGTGTGTGTGTGTGTGTGTGTGTGTGTGTGTGTGTGTGTGTGTGTGTGTGTGTGTGTGTGTGCGCTGCGCGCTGTGTGTGTGCGTGTGTGTTGTGTGTGTGTGTGTGTGTGTGTGTGTCTGAAAACAACAAAAATTAGTTAGTAATTAGTAGCAGTTGATTGGTTGACAGTTGAGAGGCGGACCAAAAGAGCAGAGCTCAACCCCCGCAAGTACAACTAGGTGAATACACACAATAACTATTGGAGCAAATCATACCCATATCCACAAACAATTAATCGAACGAATACACACGGATTCAGACAATTGGACGAACGAATACACACATGGACACATGCATACACACGCACACACCCACGCACAATTGGACGAAATCATACAAACATCCACGAACACATATACACACCCAACCGCACATGTACACAGGCACATACAGACACCCTCGTACACATTCTCACTCATCTACACCTACGCTAGTGAGCAACTTATCCCAAGACCTTCAAAAGTTGCCTTAAAACCCCCCCCCCCCACTCCTCAACCTTAAGTACAACTTTTCTATAACGCACAACTTTCCAAGCAAAATGGAAAATTTTGCTTCCGAGAAAACTTACAATAAAGACGGAAGAGCGACTTTGTCACCTTTACCCTAACTAAAAAAAAAATGATTAAACCGATCTCGTTTGACAAAAATGTTTAAACTTCAAAAACTTGTTAAAATTTCAAAACTTGGGGTGGAGGTGGATGATGTTCCATGAACTTGGAAACTGAAAGGCTATAAAACAGTAAAATTATATAAAAATAAATGTGGTTAATTAGATTTTGATATTTTGTTCCTCTGTCTCTAAGGAACTTAACTCCTCACTGTACTGTTTCTAATCCGATTAAAGAATATAACTTTTATCTTGATTGTTCTTTACTTCACGAGAAAATTTTATTTCGATAATTCTGATCTATTTCCAATAAAGTTTTGTATTCCTGTGCGGAATCCAACCCGTGTAGGTGTTTGTTCAACCAATCCTTCTGGAAGCCACTGCACGTGTACCCTAGTGGGAAACCACAAAGCCACTGCATGTGGCTCCCACTAGGGTACAATTGTGTACAATTATGTACAATTATGTTCACATACAATTGTGTACAATTATGTACACAAAGCCACTGCATGTGGATTTGACATTTTGTAACAAGCTTGCTCTGGCTTGAATTGAATTATTAATTGGCCTGATTTGACCCAAGACATCGAAGTATTAAATTTTTGTACAATCTATTAACTACAAATCCTTTACAACTCATGTCAGCGAGCGACACCAATCACTGAGTTAATTGTTAAGATAAATGTTATTAATTGGTAGCGAATTAGAAAACAAGGGGTATTTATAAGGTTTAACGAGCGTTCTCAGAAAGACGGTACAGTGATATTTGCAAAACTGTGACTTTGATTAATATAATATTTTATATTTTGTCATTAGGGTTCAATACACTAGGCAGCGCCACTCATCTCTGTAAGCGAACATCTCGTCCTAAAGACAAATTATTTGATCTCAATTTGTTGATCCAGTAATTTCATACCCAACTTCATTCGTTGAGTTGAATGAAGAGTTCATGAGATGATTTGAATGGATATAAATTACTTTTAAAAATCCTTATCTCTATCAATTTCCAGCCATGGATTTTGTTCATGTGAGTAGAATGTTATTTTAATCTCCTTCCCAATTTCAAGGGTGGGAGAAACCCAAAGTGGAAAGGTCTTTCCGGTTCGAGAGTGGGTAACGATCTGGGTTGGGAAGATCCCTCAGACTCCCATGAACATAGGACTTCGTTGCAAGACTTTTCAGTCTATTGACAACCACAAACGACCCCTCAAAAAAAAAAAAAAAAATCGTCAAAAAAAAAACCTCAATATGTCTCCAAGCAACATACATCTGTTTGCCTTCAAGGGATCAAAATCAGCTACTGTAGTGGATTTGTAAGATTATTCCCCCCTTTCGAAACGTCCTTGAAAGCAGAAAGCAGAATTACACTTCGTAGAAGACCGAGAAAGCGCGGATTCGCGTGTTGGATCATTCCCTCTTGTTTTTGTAAGATGCAGCAGTAAATTGAGTTCACTAGAAGGTGCTAATGATGGTTTCTTCCAAGTTTAATCAGAAAACTCATTAACAAACAAGGCAGGTTGGTGGGAGGGGAGGATAGGAATATTGTCCTCTTTGGCTTACGATTATCTTGCTTTGTCTCTCGGGGAAGTTCCTGTGAAATCAGGCGATTAGAACGACCTTGCTTTCACCGTGATAGGAATACCAAGCTGTGAGTTGTCCTGTACATGTGCTGCTGTTATTTTCTCAATGGTTTATTGAACTCTATGCTACACTATCATCTTTACTGATAGATAATAGCGACAGCGAGCGATATTAAGTGAGTGATATTAAGAGAGTGATATTAAGAGAGTGATATTAAGAGAGCGATATAAGAGAGTAGAAAGAGAGGCAGGATGACGAACACGACACATGGATCATGTCGTCCCACGTGTCGTGACGTCCACGACACGACACGTGGTCCAGTGTTCCTGTATTCCATTCATCACACAAGTGAACGACTTACCATGCACGATAAAACTCCTCAACTCATTACGTGACTGTAACGCATTCCCCATTAATTACAGGATGAGTAGCCTGTCCATAACCTACTGATTCAACCATCTCTTGCGCCAATAAGAGGCGGTAGTTTCATATCACTCTAAGGAATTCAAATATTTGCAGTCATATTGATAATGAATTAAAAAAAAATCGTGGATCTTACTCTGAAGATTTCTGCTCATCCAGTGAGTGGATATTGTCGCATTTCAGGAATTGAATATTTGTCAGGCAATCTGGGAATAGATATTACTTTCAAATTGCGACCCCGGGATTGTATTACAGCCAGATCCTTATATTCTACCATCCTTTGACTGATATTATTGCCTGATACCGACCCACGACTGATATTATAGACAAGACATAACATAGTTACAAGGTCCGAGACTGTAGTGATACTATCTACTACAATATAACAGTAGTGTCTGCTATTGTAAATAAGATATATGTTGTTTAAGATTCGCTACTTGGAACAAAATAGTTCCAAGTAGCACGGGCTATGGTGAGTCCGAGAGTAAGATACAGTCCCCTGTATTCAGTGCCTGGATTTCATTGAGTTCTCTCGGTACCACCTCGAAGTAAGCCTGACTCGATCAAACAATGTTGACACAGAACAATGTTTTCAGTATCACACACACACACACATTCCTGTGTTTTTAATCAATTGTCTTAATCATTATTGTTTTTTAATTTTTTTTAATTATGTCTTTAGTTAAGCCCTTTTATTCCCCAATGCAAAGAACATTTAGATTGTTAATTTATAGATTTTGGCCTTTTTTTATGAACGTTGATTTGCATAAACTGCAGCACCTTCTCTTTTCAATGTTTGTATTTTTTGTATTTTTTGATATACGATAACTAGACAGCAAAAAAAAGCAAGATTCAGGGAGGCTGCGAGAGAAAGATGCTCAACGGAGGTCTGTGGGCCAGAACTTAGGGACTTCATTATCACAAGAGTGGAAAGCATATTATGTGATGAGTTACCCATAATTAAACATTAATTAATTCTGGACATCCATTAACATTAATTAATTAACATTGGCGCCAATTAAAACTGAAGTCAATTAACATTGAGGTCAATTAAGACATAAATCATTTAAAAAAATGCATCTAAATTTACTCTGAAATCAGCTAAATTTTAAATCAATTTTCAGTGTTAATTGACATCAATTAACAATGAGAACAATTATCACTAAAATCAATCAACATTGTCATCAATTACCACCGCTTTACTTACAATTAACAGCAACAAACAATACTTATAATGGGTACTTTTATGGAGGCGAGGTTGTTTATTTGTGAAACAACAGTTTTCAGGGTAAACAAGCGGAAGGTGGGGGGGGGGGGAGTGTGGCTTGATTCAGGTTGCTTGGGTGGATATAGGTTGGATCTGCCCATATCCACCCAAACACGGGTAATGCATGCATATTTCAAAATATTTCGAAAATAAGAAAAGACAGAATATAATGAAGCACTACTCGTGTGAAAAGTCAGATGGTTTCTTCTAAAACACAGAACTATCAATGTTTTAGATATAGATACAGAGAGAGAGAGAGAGAGAGAGAGAGAGAGAGAGAGAGAGAGGGAGAGAGTTTGAGAGAGCGACAGAGAGAGAAAAAAACGGATAATTTTCTCTGGTCTTATATATGATTTACAAAGGATATTAGATCGGTTGTACATATGTATACGAAAGTGATATTAATATTTGAATGTCGTCAGGTCGTTTAAGGAGCTCCACATCCTTATATTTTGCTCTCTCATTTGTCTATTTATCTTTATATCTTATCTTACTTTTGTTCCTTAAAACTCATTTTCTTTCTCTTCTTCCTCTTGCGCCATCTTCCGTCCCTATACCTCTCTTCGTCTCCCAGCACCCCCCTCTCTGTCTGTATGTCTGTCTGTCTGTCTGTCTGTCTGTCTGTCTGTCTGTCTGTCTGTCTGTCTCTCTCTCTCTCTCTCTCTCTCTCTCTCTCTCTCTCTCTCTCTCTCTCTCTCTCTCTCTCTCTCTCTCTCTCTCTCTCTCTCTCTCTCTCTCTCTAGAGCGTGAGAGAGAGAGAGAGAGAGAGAGAGGAGAGAGAGAGAGAGAGAGAGAGAGCCGCCCATTCCATCTCTTTTCTGCCAGAAACATAAGAAAACTAAACATTTATGAAAGCTCAAGTGACCTCTGATATTTAGTGTGATTTTGTAGGACGCCTGAGGAACCGTTGAGAATGTCAGAGGTGATTGTGTGGGGGAGTGTGGATGCTGCCTCGTGATGATGTCTGGTGTGGGGGAGTGTTGATGCTGCCTCGTGATGATGTCTGGTGTGGGGGAGTGTTGATGCTGCCTCGTGATGATGTCTGGTGTGGGGGAGTGTTGATGCTGCCTCGTGATGATGTGTTCAGGTGTGTGGGGGTGTGGATGTTGTCAGGTGTGTGGCGGTGTGGTGTTACTATGTGGAACCAAACAGCCATACCTCTTGTGACACTTTGCCTCTTTCTCTCTCTCTTTCAGTCCATAGAAAGATCTTCAATATCCACGCCTAACTGCCTTCGTTGGCTTTGTTATCGTCTCACAATAGGGAATCCCGGGTTTGATTCCCGGGTAGTACAGAAATGGTTGGAGATGTTTCCCCTCACCTAATGCAACTGTTCACCTAGCAGTAAATAGGGACCCAAGAGGAAGGGAACTTTTTTAAGGTTGCATCCAAGGGAGAATCAGAAGTGCTACCGTGTAGGGACACACCTCGACACAATCGAAAACCACGAAGGATTAAGACAGGATTAAGACCACGAAGGAAGGATTAAGATAGGAATTTCCTTAAATACTTTCGTATTTAATAATACATCTTCAGAAGGATCCGTCTGAAGATGTATTATTAAATACGAAAGGACTTAAGGAAATTCCTGTTTCAATTCTTCCTCCGTATAGATATATATATACATATATATATATATATATATATATATATATATATATATATATATATATATATATATATATATATATATATATATTTTATATATTATTGCAAACTAAAGTATCAGTATAAGAAAAACAATAAATTAATTACAGTATTAATGGTAATAAATTTAAAATTAGTAATATTAAAAATAATTCCAGGAATTCCATTAACAAAAAAATTCCAAAAAAAAAGATAATAATTATTATGCCATACAACTTCACACTGACAGGGTTTTATATATAAAATTATTATTTTACTTTTACTTTAAATATTACTTTTATTTTATTTTAATAGTGTGGGAACCGACCTGTGAGATTTATATTTATTTAATTTATATGAATTTATATTTACGTTAATTTATATACTTCGATAGCAATTTGTATAATGATAAGTGGACTGTATTTCTGCAATAATCTCATAATCTCACAAATCGATCCTCTACACATTAGGGGGGGTTTTATTAGTTTATATATATATGCAGCCAATCAAATTACAGTAATAGCTACATACATTGATGAGGTTCCTTCTCTTATAGTACAGCAGGTTAGTCCACCAGGTATAACTAGAGTGTAGACACCAAATTATCCTCTTTGAGGTAGCTTCTATCACCCAGTAACTGGTGCACATAATCTTGCATCCTCGTCTTGACCTGTCAAAAGTGCGCTAGCTGTGAAGCCAGATACCTATATATGACAAGTATATCAGAGAAAACAGTACATGGAACATGAAGACCTGGCTTAATTACCTTTAGTTTGAGGCTTCCATGTGATCTAACCGGGTCACCCTATATCCTGACATTAATGGCCATAAATGAATGATAAACGGGTTTCGGATAGACACTTAACTTGATTGTAGACATCGTGTTGGAGATGGTACCTTTGGTTTCCATAACACTACGTCCAAGTAAATTAACAGGAGCCGAATTTGCTCCCGTGTGAGCCTCTGGTCTAGTAAACAACAATGGCTGTTTAACACTCCATTCTATTGACG